TCCACATTCCATTTATAGTCTACTCTCTTTTCCATATCATTTCAAACCATGAGTTAATTATGACTCAAGGAAACCAGATAGATGATAGGAAAGACTGAAAAATGCTTAACTTTAAGATCATCTTTCATATCAAAATTAACCCCAAGTTCAGGGATATATGTCACAATAGACCCACAATGTGGAGAAGGAGGAGCAGATGTTTATTCACATGTAGTAGCAAACAAGTATTAGAATAGGATACGTAGAATAATCATTGTCGCTAGCAACTGAGGAAATGTCTTTGGTAGCATGTTGGCTTCTCCATCTTGTGTAATCTTTCCTGCTTGCTTAAGTTAAATATTAGAATTTTATTCCTTTATTTTTACAGATTAGAAGCCTTACATAGAAAATTTCTGCTAAAGAACATTTTAGCTCTATCCAATCAAAATAAAAGGAAAATTGATGCCTCAAAAACAGATCACTGTTGATTTTGTCTATTTCTAAGATAGTCTCAAAATTCAAGAGCAAGGAGTTGAAATATTAAGAATAGTATAGTGAAAATCTAAGATTATATCATTTTATTTATTTATTTATTTATTTATTTATTTATTTATTTATTGGTACTGGGGAATCAACTCAGGACCTCGAGCTTGTGCTGCTGAGCTAAACTCCTGGTCCCATTTTATTGCTTTTTATTATTATAATTAAAGAATATATTATTATTAGTCAAGATCATTTACATATAACCTCAAAGACTATAGGGATATAGATGACAATATAATCAAGATATATAAGTATATACATGATGGAAAGAAAGGAAGGGAGTGTTTTCACAGTAATCCATAGAGTAGAAAATGATTTCTTTTTTTTTTTTTTTTTTGGTATGTAAATAAAGTCCTTTATTTAATTTTATACACATTATGCATTATATTTTTCTTGAAGGAATTCAACTTTCAATGTCAAAATTATTATGTGTTTGCACACATGAGGACATTTTCTTGATGTTATTACTACCTGCAAATACATTCTTCCATAACAATGCACTTTCAGATTTCATTTGAAAGACAGTATGAGCCTTTTAAAATTCCTAAAACAATATGTATAAAGGGAAGAAAGCATAAACGTCTCAAGAAATCCTTTCATGGACACAATCTTCACAGGATTTTTATTAGATCAAAATTTGGACAACAAAAGTTTAGTCCTACTCTTTTGGATGCTAACATACTTTTACTGATATGGATTTTCAAACTTGTTTAGATCCAATAGGCCCTTAATATATAGCCTTCTGATTAGAAAAGCAACTGATTATACTTATAGAAAAATGATATGTACCAGGCATTTAATCAGAAAAAGAAAAATGAGAACATATTTTTCATGTTTGATACCACTCAATAACTTACAGAATGAAGTAAAAATAGTTTGGCTATAGTTTTAATAAAACTAAAATCCATTAAAACTGATGAAAAAAATCAAACATTTAAGAAGCAAGTATCTACCAACTTAGCTAGTCCAAATAAATTCTCCCCATTGCACTGAATATTAGCGTTATGTGTTAAGGCATTTTTAATTAATATGTTCCAGAATTGCACAGTTATGCTGGTCAATGTTTCTATTTCCCTATTCTTGCCTTTATCCTACTCCTTTCTTTCAATGGATCAAAATGTTAAATCATAGTATTGGTGGCTCTTGTAGACAGCTTTAAACTGCCATACAAAAGTTTGTTCACAGACTTCTGGGAGAACATGGCGGACAGATAGCAGCAGCTACGGAGGCTCTCTGAAACACCCAGCTTAGAATTCAGGAATGGTGCTGAGTAAGGAATCATAAGCAAGAGGAGATAAGCCCCAGTGACCCAAAAATGAACTGGGCTGAGAGAAACCAACTGGGAATGCAATCCTGGTGCTATAACAGGAGCAGATAAAGCCTCAGTGTGGAAGCTGGAGCCCGTGCCATTGGAAGCCGCGATTTGGGTTTCCCGACGCTGCCTCTGCATCTGAATAGGCTTGGCAGGGAGAGAGACATGTGGAAGCTCTGAGAATGGGAATCGGTGAACGTAGTTGAGAGCAGGACAGGCAGGGAGCCATGCACCCACCTCCAGTGAGTGAGGGAAAACTGGGACTCTTCCACAGTGTAGGAGACTCCAACAGAGGACATTCTGGGACCGGGCAGACTTGCGGGAACAGGGCGCTGCAGTGACTTCAGTCACCAATCCCCCTCTCAAGCGGGATTGGTGAGCAGTGCCTGGCCCACCTGATGCTGCTGGCTGAGACCCAGTAGGCTAGCACAGCCCAGGTCCCAGCTCCTGAAAGTAGATTGATCTGGAGGAGTGGGCCCACATAGGCTGCCTGGTCTGCAACTTCCTGGTGAGCTGCAGTGGGTGGGAACACCTAGCCGGTACAATTCAATCAGACTGTGGCTGACAGGAAGGAAGCTGGGCTACCTATATACACTTGCATATATAAGGAACAAAGAATATGGGAAGAGGCAACAACAAGAAAGGGTCCTCGGCCCCCAATCCTGAGAAAGTGGCAACAGCAGGCACAGCACCAATAGATATAAAGTGCTATTTGAGAGCCTGATAGACAAGTTCAGGAATGAAGTTATTAATGACCTGAAGCTAGACATAAGCAGAATAGTTAGAGAAATGCTAAGCACCACCCAAGAAACAACAGATGGTGGAATAGAAGAACAGAAAAAGAGGGGAGGATTGTTTAGTGGAGAAAATAGAGAAAGCATAGAATAAGTGAAGCAGGTTCAAAGAGATTATCAGGAAACTAAAAAGTCTATCGAAAATTGGCATAACAGCTTGAAAGAAACTAAGGACAGATTATCTGAACTGGAGGACAGATTTGTAATATGGGAGCATGAAATGAAAAAACTTCTTAAAAATAACAAAGAAACAAACAGCAATAATACAAAGACTAGAAGATGATAAGAGGGTCTATAACTTAAGAATTAAGAACATAAAAGAAGAAGTAGGGACACAAACAAATGAACTACAAAAGCTACTCACAGAAATAATCTAGGAGAATTTTCCTAATTTAGCTAAAGGTAAAGATACTCAGTTGTATGAAGCATAAAGACCCCAGCCACCTACAACCCAAACAGAGCAACACCCAGGCATATAATAATTAAAATTCCAGAAATCCAATACAAGAACAGAATACTAAAAGCTGTCAGAGAAAAGAACCAGATCACTTACAAGGGAACACCCATCAGAATTACAGCAGACTTCTCGACACAAACCATCAAATCACGAAGAGCGTGGGGGGAAATAATTCAAGCTTTGAAAGATAATAATCTCCAGCCAAGATTGATATATCCTGCACAACTATCCCTGGAAATTGATGGAAAAACAAGGTGCTTCCAGGATAAAGAGGAACTAGGGGAATATGCAACCACCAATTCAACTCTACAGAGAATACTGCAAGATATTCTAAAGCAGAAAAATATGAAGAATCCAGAAGTAGCGGCAGAGAGGCCACAATGAATGGAGCAGAAAACAAAGTGAAGAAGACAAACTGACAACTAATGACAGAAAAAGAGCTCAACAGAAATGCGGCAGAGAAGATTGGATGATAGGAGCAGCTATTTTGGAGAAAATGACATTTTAAGAGGTAATACTGATTTAGTATTATCTTGTTTTGAAGTCTCATCAAGCTTTTGGTCTTCTGTCTCCATTAGTCTAAACAGATGGTATCTTATTGGATTTTATTATATATGATAGTATAAGCAAAACCTATTATAGACAAGGAGATTATACAGAAATGATTGTTCATTTTCTGTTAGTTGATTCTAAATACCCTGTAATACTGTCATTCTGTTAAATGGTTTTACATTGTTTTGATATATTTGATGCTACAGTATATGAAGTTATACTCAAAGATTTAAGGAAAGAGACAATATGGTAACTACTTTTATGTCAGGATAATCTTGGGGTGAAACACTATTTTGCTTAAATGGTTATGTTTTGATCTGTGCTGATTTGCTGTTATGCCCTCTTTTATCTCAATCTCCACTTCATTATTTACATTTTTATCCTTTTAATTAGGGGAAAGATAAATTTAAAAATAGGAGGATATATTATAGTAACCCACTTTGACTTTCCACTATCTTGATTTAAAGCCCTGTATTGCTCTCACCATCTTGTTTTGACTGATGTTCCTCTATTCTGTTTTGCTTGATAATACCACGTTCAAGAGTTTAGGCAACAGCTGTGAAGATAGTGGGATTCATTATGATGCCCATTCTGGTTGACTGTTATCTACTTTTGAAGACCTATAATGTCTCCAATGTTTTGGTTTTGTTGGTTTTGTTCTTTACTGTTTTGTTCAATTTTATTATAACTGATGATATAGGCAATTCTATTAGAGATAGCGTGAGGCATTATGGTAACCATTGTTGATCACCTAGTATTATGCTTTTACATTATCTATTACATCCACCCTTTTGATTTGACTGACTGTTCTGTTATGTCACATTTGGTTCTACTCTCTTCCAAAAAAGTAATAAAACTGTGGGAGCAACAAACACAAAATGTGTAATTGTCATTGAACAAAAGAGAGGAAAAGAAAGTGCTCTAAATGATATAACTGCATGTATATTTAAGTGTATAAGATAGATAATGATATTACTGAGTTTTGTTGGATCATTGAACAGAACTCTTTGCAGTCACACTGTTGGAATGTCCACTTTATAAGCTTTAATTTTGTAACTTGAACAATTATTTCTAAGATGACAAAATGTAATCCATTAACTAGTGATTTCCTACTGTTTATTTTTTTCTGTAAATCTGTATAACTTGTACCCTTTCTCTGCTTTTTTTTATTTTTCTCCTTAAATAAAATTTTAAAAAAAAAGTTTGTTCACTAGATTTTATGAGCACAAACATTAAAATGTTACATAAAATGTACCATGTTTTACTCTATACACTCATCTAATATGGTTTAATGTCTTGACAAAAGGTGAGATGACTTAAGTGCATTTTACATTTTTATGCATTTAGACCACCAAATGCATAGATGTTCTAATGCAAAATTCTTGGTCTTCAGTATCTCATAGTTTTGGATGCTCTGAAGTATGACAGAAACTTGTAACATAGACTAACCACAAAGTACCAGATATTTCTTGCCATTTGTGACCTTGCAATAAAAATGTGCCAGATCAGGATTACAAGGATTGTATTGAAACCGTAATGGATGTTCCGCAACTTGTTGAAATGCTTTCTAGCTGCAGGAAGACCAGATATTTCTTCATTCAAAACATATTTCTTAGTTCCCATGCAGCAGTTTTCTATATATTCTGCCCAATGTAACTGTCGTACATCAATATTGGAGGTCTTTTTATCTTCAGGGTTTAGTTGATTCATTAACATATTGACATTATCAGTATTCCAAACCCAAGAATTACTTGTGAAATATTCAAGAAACACCATAGCTTTGTGAAGATGAGTTATTGTTTTCATCATCCTTGGGCTTCTTCCAGTCATCCTGAGGTAGATATCATACAGGAATGCTGGGGCCTTATGGCTTACAGCAATCCAGTAATGATATAAAAGGTGATTGGAGGTTAGATTTACATTGGGCTGTCTGAAGGCCTGTTCCAGAGGATTCCTCTTGAAAGTGGAAATTACATGGTATTCAACTTCACCCCAATGGAAAGGATTAGTGCTGCCTGTTGTACAGTTATATACCATGATATTTCTTGGTCTATTAACTCCAGAATACCAGGCTGCTGCAAGACTTGTGTTGACAACTACATCTACAGGAACAAGATCTGCAAGGGCGTTATTGGAGGCACGCATTGTTCGAAGAATTCCTTTCCCTGCCGCAATAAAGAGGCCACTTGGTCCATTAAAGTTATCAATCCATCTAGGAAAAGGTTCTTTCCAACTGGCACCAACAATTGAAGGCCTCACAATTGCCACATTTAGCTTTGCTCCTTCTTGCTGTACAACATACTCTGCCAATGCTTTCGTGTATATGTATGTATTAGGTCTGTCTCCTATTATTTTGGTGTGATATCATTTACTAAGCCATCATCCATCCATTCTAAAGAATCAACCAGCTTCTTGGGGTCTACAGGTGGTGGGTACACTACTTCATCAATATGCTTTCGATTGCAGTAGGCATATGCTGTTGAGACTTGCATGAACACTTCCAGATTCTTCATTTGTTGCGCAAGGAGAATAAGCTGTTGTGTAGCAATCACGTTTAACTGAACGGCATCTCTTAAATTTTCATTAAACTGTACTGTAGCTGCACAATGGAATATAATATTAGTAGAATCTACGATGACCTCTTTATCTTCTTCACTAAGAGCCAGTTTAGAATGAGTGAGTTCACTGTTGATTGCTGCAATTTTCTCTCTAAAATCTGGATTTTCATCTCTTAATCTGTCAAAGAGCTTGCTACTAAGGATTTCTTCCATTTGTTCCTGGGATGTCTGTCCAGCTTTCTGCCTTACCAAAACATACACTGAATTCACCTTAGGACAAGATCTCAGCAACTTTTCCAGAAGTACCTTTCCTAGAAAACCAGTAGCTCCTGTAAGAAGAACATTCTTCCCTTCGTAGTATTCTGGGATTGAAACCATTTTGACCCTAGACACAGAGGTTTGGGCCTCACAATTCCCTGGCATATCAGCAAAGGCTGCATGCCGCCGAAAGATGATTTCTTGAAATAAGCTTTGTATATTTTATGACCTAACTTTCATTTTACTGGCATTATAAGAAAATAAAGTGATTGTTTTTGAATTATTGATTGCTACTCAGTACTGATAACAACATTTAAAATTTTAAAAATTCATTTGCTGTTAGTTTTTCCATTGGCTCTTTAACCTACCACATCACTATATGTTTGTCCTGGCTCTGAATCAAAATTTGCTTTGAAAAGATAGCATTGAAAAGCATTCCTTGCTTTTTTATCACAGAATATTTTCATTCAGATTTATTGATATACATACTAAATAGTCCCAAATATTTGTGTGTTTAAAGAAACTGATTGCTAATATCCTAGAGTTACCCTTCTATATTTATCTACCTACCAGTCTACCTGTATAAAAGGGAGAGGTGCGAGAAGAGGATTATTTACATCCCTTTTCTCATATTTCTCCTTTATAAAAATTTTAAAATGATAATTAAAGAGCATTTCAAGAATATCTAGTGACAAATCCATTTTGGGTGAAAAGTGCATGCACACACACACAATGCACGCACAGGGGTGCTTCGTTTAACAACCCAGTTTGGTTCCTACCAGGAGGTCATGGGGTGAATTGGTCGCTAAATGAGGAACCATATGTGGTATGTACATTAATATATTGGGAATAAAGAAATGCTCAAAGGAAACTGCAGCTTGATAACTTTGCTTCTGTCTGTATAATTTTTTTTTCTTTTTGAGATGGGGGTCTCACCATGCAGCCCAGGCTGGCCTTGGGCTCACATTGTAGCCCAGGTTGGTCTTGAACTTGCAAAGATCCACCTGCCTCAGGCCTCCCGAGTGCTGGGATTACAGGAGTGGGCCACCACGCTGGGCAGTCTGTCTCTATAATTCTTATGTGCAGTACTGTGATGTATAATGGAACATAAAACTACAGTACTGTATAATAAAATTGGCAAAAATCACAGAACTTCATAAATGAGAATCCTGAAAAAAAAAAAAACAAAAAAAAAAAAACACTGACGGTCTGTAAAAATGTTGTACAGGATTCTACAAGAAAAAAAGGTATATTTTGAGTTCATGCACAGAGCTTCGGTCATACATCCAAACAGTTGTTGAACAAGTAGTTCGTTGAATGAGGAATATAGGTAGTGTATTAATGCTTATATTCCGTCTGGAAGAAAAGTTTGATTGACAGACAATTTTATAGTCTAAGGTCCTAACACAGTAGCACAGAATTGTTTGGTCCTAAACAAATAAATTATATCACTGAGTTAAAATATAAACAATCTAATTTTTATAATCACATTAAAAGGATTTAATCTGCATTGAAAATCTAAAACCACTTCTCAAATATTCAGACTACTTAATTTACATTGCTTCTTGTTAACCCAGGTATGTGAGCTCCTTTACTCAAACGTTCTATTATGTCTTGAAGACAAAAAACCACTGAGACTATAAATCCGTATATTACAGCTGTATGAATAAATCAAGCAAATTAGAAAGAAAAAGTAAATTGTTTTCAAATTTATTTTATTTTCAATTAGCATAGTATTTATGCATGTTTATAGAGTATAATTAACGATAGGTTTCAGTGTATATAGTGATGGAGTCAGCGTAATTAGCCCCTCCATTTCCTCAGGTACACAGCATATCGAGGTGCTGGAAACTTCAGACTCTTACCTGTAAATAAACTTGCAATAGAACTATACAGAGCTGCCAAAAAATAAAGTAAATTCAATCACATTGCTCTACAAATTTGCTAACACTTTGTTACGGATTATTTTTAAGGGACACACAGGGGACAATTAGATATTATTTTCCCTCTTGTATGCTAACACATTTCTTAATGGGAGTTCACCAAATCTGTATTTAATAGTTTTTGCCATGTGGTTGTTTGCTTTGAGAAACTAATCTGAAGCTGTGTTACTTTGAGTTTCTTTTAAATTTAAGAGTTTGGCAAAACTGGGATATGCAAACAGACTTTCTTCCATAATTTCTTTTCTTTTAATTTTTAAATGTTTGCTACATATAGGGAATCATGCATATTTAATTATATGAACCAGAGGAGGTCATTTTATGTATTTCCTCAAGAAAATGTATTTAAAAATTTGTTCAGTGTAGTATTTCACTGAGGTATCTAAATTAAAAATTCTATGAGAACTGTAAGGAGATTATAATAACAATGAAAAGTTATCTCTATGTTAGATAAAATCATTATGAAACTCTAAACTATTTTTCTTACTGTCCTTCACATATGCATTAAGAAAACAAATTTAAATGAAAAACTCAGGGACATAGTAGGGGGTTACAATTTGGGATACTAAGTTAGGTTGAGTTTAAAGATTCAAAGGTATTTTTTAAGAAGTTAGCCCATAAATATACCCTTTTTCAGGGATTTAAAATATAATTATGATCCATATGTATTTATGTATATTTTGGAGGTTTAAAAGTGGGAAAGCCTGGTACATAACAACCCACTGTGCTTCAGAATATAATTTTGATAAATGAGGCAGACAATCATAATTTTTTTTTAAAAAAGATGTAAATTTCCCCTTAAATGCGTGACTTTCAAGAAGATGTCTGCATACTTTAAGTTTAATGTCCATCATGGAAACGGAAGACCATTCTAGCTAAAAACAATGTCAGCAGCAAATTTATAATAGTAGCATGAGCTCATTTAGAGGATCTCAGGCAGTTTAAATTGCAGCAAAATCCTTCTGCAGTTAATAATGCTAAGCATGGACAGGTCTGTGTGGTGTTTTTAGGCATCAATTCTAGGACAAGTATGACCATGTGCTTGATGACAAGTATGACCTCTGTTAGTAGGAAATATGGATTAATCTTGGCATGTTTTTCCCTGCAAATAATCTGACCCACACACAATTTTCCAAACATAAGGTAAGTCTCAAATAAAATATATTGCTCCTCTTATCACTTAACATTTTCATACATCATTTTTAAAGAAAAATCAAGGGACAATTTGATATTGTTTTTTGTTTTGTAAATGGGCTGCTATACTTGGTAAACAATGTCTTGTTTGTATTCAATTAAGTCTCTCTTGAATGTCCCTAAATTTAAAAACTAGTGTACAATGCTAAAAACTTATTCTCCTCTCTCATTTACTACTGATGTTTCATAATCTATATTTGTATTATCTTACATGATATGAACTTTTTAACTTACTAGGGGAAGATCTGGCCTCTGCTGAAGGAAGAATGTAGCTCTGACTTCTTGCATGAGAATATTTGGGTGGAAAACGCTGGGTTAAAACTCTAAAAACTTTTAATATCGGCTTCTCAGCAATAGGGCTGTGTCAGCATACTGTACCCTGACTAGCCTCTTTCTCTTTGGTATTGTGGTTACCTTGATAGAGACTGCAACAGTTTTGATTACTGTGATCCAAGATACAGAGCAAAAGGCCAATAGTCAAATGAGGGAAGGGAGGCCAGATAGGACTTTGTCAGGACCTGGCAGCGAAACAAGGAGCATCACCTGGAATCTGGCAGCAGCTATGGTTCAGGTGGCTTACCATAGTATTTCTGTTGTTTTCATCAAAGCCTGGTCTTCAGATGGTAGCCTAAATTGGTCAATTTTGTTAGAAGGGACAATAGCAATGATAATTAAAACTCTGTGTTAAACATTTACATTTCATTAGGTCGATGGGATCATGAAAATCCAACACATGAATGCAGTCTGGTATGTGGTTTGTTACAGTTTTACTCTTGAGAATATTCCCAGGTACTATTATACATATTTCATTTCCACATTTCTAATCAAATTTTTTTATTGCTTGGGGTATGGTATGTGTAGATAGGCTTTTGAAAAATTCTTGGACACCATAAGAGCATCAGTTTCCACTGTTATAATTCTATTTGAGTCTTAAAGATCTTTTTTTAATGTTAACAATGTTGCCTAAAATATGTAGCATAGAAAAAGAAATGAGTTTATAGGAGACATTTACAGGTCAAGTGGCAAGCGTTATGTGCTGTTGCTTTTCTTATTAAAGGATAAACACATGAAAAGAAATTTGAGTGTGGGAACCAGAACATGTGGAGTTGGTTTATCAGTAGGCTGAATGAATGGGCTGGAAAATACAGGTAATCACGTAACTGAAACCCTGGAGATGATGGGAGGAACTTGAAAGATATTGCTGACACAGACTTCTCTCTAGGGGAGTGGAAAAAATGGTCTCCAGAATGGGTTTGGTTATGATCCTAGTCAGGCTCTCACCTGAGCGATCAATAGTAGCACTGGAGGTCATTTCTGAGCAATCATACTTGCTCCAAAAAACACAAACTTGAAAGAAGTAATTAACAACTATATCACAGAGAGACATGATCACAGTAAAAGCAAATTTTACTGTTTGCAGATATCCTTGCTTAAGGGCAATAACATTGTCTTTGGATATGTTGAAATGAAGAAAAGGGAAAAACAAAGAATGAAATGCATTGAAAAAGGATAAATAAAATAGTCATTATTATCCCTAATAAAAATTCTCATGTTTTTGATTGGACACAAATTATACTGTCAGTGTTAGAGTTACATTTTTAGTGCAATATTGCAACTTAGGGGAAGCAATAATGATTGTGAATCAAATGAAAATTTCAGTGTCACAAAATTTATTGCTGTAAAATTATCTTACTATTCTTTTTGATATTGAATATGAGGCTATTTCCTAATATTTAATATGAGGCTATCTCTCATTTCTTTTGGAGAAAGAAATTTGTAAGTTTATTTCTATTAAATGCAAATACTCCATTTCCAGAAACAAAATTAGTATTACTTCTAGTATCACATTTCCCACAACATATGCTTTTATATTTATAGCTTTAAAAATTTATTATAAATTTCTGTGTAAATTATCATAAGACAAAAAAGACATACAGAATATAAATGTATTGATTACACATATTTTAAATCATGTAAGCTATAAAGTGAATATATATTAACTTTTATATTCTATATACTCTCATAAAATGCATAAGAAAAACATAAATG